CATCTGCTAGTTCAGCATAACTGGAACAAGCAATGGAGAAAAACACAATAATGGAGCTTTAACCTACATGAAAGTGAGCTCATTTCTTCTTCCTCTGGGCGGGGGGATTAAAAACTGTGGTGTTACATAGTCTCTACCCCCAGAAAAGCCTCCAGTCTGCCTGGAATGTTATCTGCTGGGGCAGTTGGGAGTTATGAATGAGTTCCCTAATCCATTGACAGAAATGTTCCAGCAGGCACTTGCAGACTTCCCTGTAGTCTGATGGTTTTTGAGAAGCCCTTGGTCAGGTGTTGGGGACTGATACAGGCTCAGGAGATGGACATTTATGTAGCAAAGGCCTTTGTACTGATAGGATTTTTGGAAAAAAGACCTTACTGCCTATATTGGGAAAGGAGTCTTTGGAAATTTTTTAAAAGTTTGCTTTGTTTCTGGAAACTTTAATCAGGAGACCAACTAAGGAATAGAAAAGAAATACAGATTATTAGAATTTCAGTTTCTAATTTGCTGTTACATTTTGATTTCTGAAATCCATGGAGTTTCTCTAATATAGGTAAGCACAATCTGGCTCTTTTCTATAGAATCTACTTCACTCTTTTCCATTCAGACAGGCCAAGTTGCAAGTATAAAAAATAAGATTATTCGGTGATGGGCAAACCAGATGATTCAGGTGTGTTTGAGGAATGGTTCAGTTTGATATAAAGCCCCTCAAAACCACAAGGCTTTGCTCACATCCAGTTTCTACGAGTTCCCATCTAATGGTGTTTAAATTAGGTGATGTTTGAGTCATTTGGGACTGGGCAGGTTTTAGCTTTTACCCCAAAAGCTGCTGTGCCACAGAGCCATTTCAGACCTCCCTTTTGAGTGGGATGGAAACCATCGATCTGGGTGCTGCACTGATGGGGAGAAATATTGATCCCTCACATTTCTTGGGCATGTGGGAGAGCAGCTTTCCCATTCCCAGCTTTCCCATCCTGTGCCAGGGCTGGAATGTGTCTGTCCCTGCCCCATTTCGGGGGGTTTGGGGTGCTGGCCAGTGGGGGAATGGGAGGGAAGTGCTTCCCTGGGGAGGGAAGTCCCCTCCCAGGGGGAATGATGTGCATCTCAGGAAGACCTAAAGGAATGTATCTGATCTGAGGAGCTGCTTTCACGTGGGGTTCTGCTGAGGAGTGATGGACAGCTGGGTTAGAGATGGTCCTCTGGGAATGTGCTGCACCAAACACTGAAGTGAAACCAGTCTGATGATTTCTGTTACCTTGTGTTGCCTGAGCAAGGGGGAAACTGGGGTTCTGTTTATTGATAATTATAAACCTGGGGAGAGCTCAGTGCATTAGGGCTGTGCTATATTTAAATGGTGTTTTGTCTGCCAAATGTCCCTATTACAAAATGTTCTTTGCCAAGATCATGGGCCTCTCCTTTTAAAAGCTGCTTTTGAAGCTCTCAGTTGTTTTCAGAAAATTGGTTAATGTCCATAGCTGGGGCATCTCTTGTCTGTCTTCACTTTGTGCTGTTAAGTCATTCCAAGAGCATTTTAAAGGTGGTGGGAGCAGCTATGGGAAATGCCACTTCACCACTTGTAGAGTGGAATTATTGCATTTCTGAAAGATGAAACTATTATTAAAGCAGAAAATGGAGTGTTCTCCAGCCTCTCCCCCTGTGTGCTGCAGACACTCAGCAGTGTCTTTAATTAGGCTGTCACAGCTGAAGCAAAAATAACAAAACAGAACCTCTTCTGAACCAGCTGTGAGATTTAAAGGCTTTTACTCCTCCCCAGAGCAGGGAGCCCTGACAGGGAACATTCCAGCCCCTCATCCTACCACGGGGCTGGAGGAAACATTCACCTGCTGGTCTTGAGCCTGTTGGGATTTCTGCTCGTGTGAGGGGCAGTGCAGCTTTACCACCAAGAGCTGATTTCTTGTATCCCCAGTCAGATTGACAAAAGCCAACTCATTTCATGTTAAAAGTTCTAAAATGTCACTGTTTTGGTCATGTCTGATCAGGACTGAGTTGGAATTCTTGGGTTAGAGAGCTGCTTTGGACATGAACAGACCCTTTAATTAGCAGGCTCTGCACTAAAATCTATCTTGTTAAGGATTTGTTAAAATCATGCATAAACTGGAATATGCTTATTTATTTGTGAATCTCTGGGGTTATGCAGCAGAGTTGAATATTCCTCCCAAGGACAACCTTTGAAGACCATTTCTTTGAAATAAATTAATTTTTTTAAGTCCTGGCCTTTCTTTTGCATGTTGGCTTGGATATAAACATGAAACCAGCTGCAGTTTTGGCAAGAATATTGATGGGTTCTTTCTTGTCAGATTAAAAACAAAATGGAGTGGACTGTTCTGGAATACTCTTCAATTTTAGAACTTTCCTTTTTCAAGAGTGACCTTATTCAATGCCCAAATGAGCACCTTTCCTCTGCACCACCACCTCATTATGTGTGTCGAAACAGGCATCCTCTCTGCTTTTCTCAACTTTGTGTATTTTTTTTTAGTGGTATTTTCCCTTTTTTTTTAAACTCCCATAAAATATGGCTCCAGTTCCTGGCTAATTTTGCTGTACCACTGCAGTAGCCAAATATTTTTGTGTAAGAATTATTAGTCACAGGAGAAAGAATGCAAGGGAATATTCTTAGAAAGTGTCAGAACTATGCTTGACATGTAAAATATTTATCCAGACGTGTAAACAAATCAAGAGGTGTTTTGCCAGTGTCCCACCGTGAACTTTTGTTGGTCTGGAGTCATGAGCTGCATTTCAGTTCTTGAAAATAAGGTATCAGGTTCTCTGCTGACATGAACTGGGAGTGCTGATGGTTGGCCTCACCTGGCTGAAATTTTAGCCCCTGCTTTTGCCTCCCTAAAAATAAACCAAGATGTGTTTTCCGAAGAGCTGTAACTGTGCTAAAAAAAAATCCTGTGTTTATTTTGGGTTTGGATTACTCTGCATTGCTTGTAGTTACTGATGTGGCTCCACTCTGTGAGTAGCCTTATGTTTGTTTTGCTTTTTGGTATTATCAGTATCTTAGTGAGAGTTAAACAGCGGGTTTGATTCAGGGAACTGTTGTTTTTGAGGACAACACTGATAATCTTCCCTTTGTGCCTCTGCTCCCAAGGAGCATCTCGGCCCTTCAGCAGGAAAATTCAGCTGTGGCTTTATCTGAGCTGCCTTCCAGTGACTCTTGTGGTGAGACGTGGCAGTGCCTCCTGGGGATGCCACATAATCCCCCTGGCAGGGGTCCTGTCTCATCCCAGAGTTTGGGACAGATCTCCTGTGCTGGGTGACAACACCTGAGTTTTGCCAGGCCTGGTTCTGCCCTTCCACACTGGGCCTTGAGTCGTGAACCTCTTTCTCAACTCTGCAATATTTCAAATTAAATTGCATTCCATTGCAGCTTCCCCCGTTTTGTTTCGGTTTCTGTTATTATTATTATTATTATTATTTTGAAATCCCTTTGGTAAACAGCTCCTGTAGCTGCATTCAAACTTTCAAAACTGTGCCATCTATTGTTAGTTTTCCAGACTGCTGCTGTGTCATTGGTTAAAAATCAATGGCAGTTGGAGTTGTAGGGCACGAGCTGGGAATGAGGGAGCAGTTACTCGTTGGGATCCCTTCCAGAGGAGGAAGGTGGAGTTTGGAGCTGCTCACAGCCCTTCTAAAATAAGAGTCAAAGCAAGTAGGTGCCTTTTTTTAGGGGTGACACGCCAGATAACTTTTTGTAGGAAACTAAAAGCTCCATAAATGAGGAAAGAGTGTTTTGTTTTAGGCTGATTATTCTCTCTGCTGATATTCTGCTCTGAGATAATCCACTCATATTAATTATAAAAGCTACTCTATAAATTATAGGTATAAAAATGATATAAATTATATAAATTTATTTTATATAATATATAAATGTGTATTGTTATTAAAGCTTTTTTTTTTGTAGTCCTGTTGATGGCCACCTGCCTCACCTGCTGTGGGACAACACACCTTGATTAGAGGCTGTTGCTCTTTACATTTCCCCAACTTCTTTACCAGGCCACAGGTGCTTTGTTGCACCTGAATCTAAACAGGCAAGATAATTGGGCATTAAGGGAATAAAATCTTGCCCCCAAACCAAAGGTATTAACAAGTGCTTGAAATGCAAAAGTCAGTAAATTAGGGACAACTTGGAATTTTTTATGTTGGATAGGTTGTTTTTAAGTAAGATCCCTCTTAAGGCATCTTTCATTCCCAGTTTAAGACTTGTCAGGACATGTTTTGTCACTGGCATTGGTCAGGATAAAAAGAGTTTCCTGCTTCTTCGGGCTCTATTTACATTAAAAATTCTGTATTGTTGGTGGTGTGTGATGTATTTAATTCTGTTGTTCTGTGGAATTGTCTTTGGAGCAGTCTCTGGGAAATCCAACTCTTATCTTAGGGGAAGGCAGTGAGAAAAGCAGAACAGATTGATTTCATATTTGAGCTGAGAGAGGGGAACCTTTCCAGGTGGCATAAAAGTGTGTCAGCTCTGCCCTGCTGTGTGAGGGCCCCTGAGCACTGAGGGAGGGGCTCATGATGTATCAGAATAACTCATTTTATCCTCATTTACTGTAAATTGATTTGGGCCCAAGGCCAAGGTCTTCTGGACTTGGGAATCCACATGCACATGGTTATGTACAGATCCAAAAAATCTGGTAGTTGATTCCTCTCCACCTGCACAAGGGACATGTGGCAGGAGGGTGTTTAACAAAACTGGCCCTCTTCCACCACACAGTTCCTGCAAAAACAGGCTGAACCAGGAATCTGGGAGAGAGACAGAATTTGGGGGGGGGGACTTTTGCTCGAAAGAGAAGCCTTAAAATAAAACTGTTTGTCGGGGCACAGATGGTTGTGTTCAAACGTTCGGTGAATCAGCTGCGGGGGGGGGAGGACTCTTAAACTGGAATTTTGCCGTGAATCAGCTCTGGGGGAGTGACCAGCGCTGCTCCCAGAGGTTAAACCGAGCCCTGCCGTGCCTGAGTGCTTCCCTGGGATCCAGGAGGATTTGGGGATCCAGGTGCTGGCAGCACTGAGGACGGATGAGCCGGCAGTAAGTGAGGAGCTGGGAGGGGGTGCTGGGCACAGGGTTTGCTCCACAGTTACTCCAGGAAAAAGGGGGGGATTAGTTTTCTCTCAGAAGCTCCGATGGCTGCAGGTGGATCAGATTCCCTTTAGAATTCCCTCAGAAATTCTCCTTATGCTTTTTTTTCTACAGCTTACAATTAAGAATGTGTGAATTTGAAACGGAGTTCAGTTTAGCTGCCCAAGAGCAAAACTTGAGAAGGAAACCAGCATTTTAAAATCCAAAGGGATAAGGCAGCTCTTGCTTTTCTGCTCTGTTGGAACACGTGGGTTTTTCTGAAAGCATTATAAGTACTTTTGCAGAAAGTGGTAGAACAGAGAACACAGCAAAACTCTGTTTTCTGCTGCTCTTTCTCTTGTTACAGGTTTTTACATAAGTGTTTGTAGCTTAATCTGACACAGATGAAGGGAAAGTGTAACTCATAGGTGTCACCTGCCTCAAAACTTTATTTAGCGCAGTATTCTCTATTTTAGCAGAGGAACATTTGTTTTTCCTGTCTCTAGATAAAAATAACCTGCTTATACTTGCAACAGCTCATCTTTAGCCAGAGTTTTTCCCTTTTACCCTCATCAGATCTGCACATTCCATCCTTTTGCCAAGGAAGCCAGCTTTATTTAAATTGCTGAATTCAATCAGACAGCACTAGCAAAGCTGCCACTGCCATAGTGGTAAAAAGCTCTTTATGAGGATCAAATACATAATTTTTTTGCCTTTATTCCAGCAGTGTGAAGAGTGGAAATAGCCTTTATAGTTTGCTTGGTTGTGGCTCTTTAACACAAATACCTTGAGCCCCACAGGGAGGGAAATAGAAAAGCATTAACCTGTTGCCTTGGTGGAGAATTTTGTTCCCTTCTGACCCTCCTGGTGGTGGGACATTGCTGTGGAGGGACAACTTCATCCATCCCATTGATGAGGCTGCCATGAGGACTCTCCTATTTTGGACAAGTCTGTAAAAGGTTACATCAAGTTCATAAATCTCCATGATTTTTCTGCATGTGTTAATTTTAGTGATTAAAAAGAAGTGATGCTCTGAGTTTGGGGCACTGATGTGGCTCCTTTAACAGAGCACTGGTGGTGACAGAAGGACCTGGTGAGCTTTGGGTCTTAACCCCAGGTGTGCAAGTGAAGTGTTAAACCATTAAAAGCAGACTGCCAGCTGTAGTTTTGAATTGCATTGGTTGAAACAGTGGATTTTTGTTAAGCCTCAAGTAAAGGAGTAAGTCAGTAAACTTTGCTAACAGTGCAGCTCTATGCACAGAATGGGAGGAACAATCCAGCATTTCATCAGCTTCCTTGCTGTCTCTTGCCAAAGTTTTTGGGCTGCCCTGCATTGCATCAGTCCTGCTGGACATTATTTTCCATCTATCATTTGGAGCCAGATGGAAAAGGAATCCTCTGTATATTGATAGAGTTATTTCATAACAAGGGGAAAGCTTTTTGGCCGGTGCCTGTGCTGGTTCAACCTTTAAATCAGCTTTTATTGTCTGGTTGTGTTCATGTTTGGAAAACGAAATGAGGATCATTAATAGGTACATGAAGAGCATGATAAGGCTCCAGGTAGGTGTTTTTCTCTCTGGTGCAATCCATGTGATGCACTTCCATGTTTTTCTCCAGTGGTCCAGGTGTACCCACAGGTGCCAGGGAGTGGCAGCCTCAGACCTGCCAACTCTCACCTTGCCCTGGGCATCTCCTTTGGTTCAGGTGCACAGGGCAGTGCCTGGGGCTCCACCTGGGGACTCCAACTTCCCTCCTTGTGGGACACCTATGGAGCCAGGCTGGGAGAGCTGGGAATGTTCAGCCTGGAGCAGAGAAGGCTCCAGGGAGACCTCAGAGCCCCTTGCAGTGCCCGAAGGGGCTTTCCCTTTACAGAGTAGGAAATCAATCATTAGGAGTTTGTTTCTCTGCTTTTATGTTCAGAGAAACTTTTGGCATGTTCCAAGGATGTCTTTTAAGAAATTTATGCTGGTTTTGGCTGATAGAGAGTTAATTTTCTTCCTGGTAACTAGTAGGTGACTGTGGTTGGGATCTGTGCTGGAAAAGGGGGCTGGTAACACAGGGGTGTTTTAGTTATTGCTTAGCAGGAATCACACAGGGCCAAGGTCTGCTCTGCTCCCCACCCCACCACTGAGGAGTTGGGGGGACACAGCCAGGACAGCTGAGCCAAGGGATGGATATTCCACACCATAGGGAATCCTGCTTAGAATATAGAGGTGGGGGAAGGAGAAGGAAGGGGGGGGGATGTTGGGAGTGATGGTGTTTGTCTTCCCAAGTCCCCATTAGGTGTAATGGAGCCCTGTTTTCTTTGGGATGGCTGAACACCTGCCTGCCCATGGGAAGTGGGGAAGGAATTCCTTGATTTGCTTTACTTGCACGTGCAGTTTTTATAGAGTCATGGAATCCCAGAAGTCATCTCATTCCACCCCCTGCCATGGGCAGGGACATCTTCCACTAGCCCAGGTTGCTCCAAGCCCCATCCAACCTGGCCTTGGACACTTCCAGGGATGGGGCAGCCACAGCTTCTCTGGGCAACCTGTGCCTCAGGGAAGAATTCCCCTCACAGGGAAGAATTTCTCCCAAATATCTGTCTGCCCTTTGGCAGTGTGAAGCCATTCCCCCTTGTCCTGTCAGGCCATTTCCTGACTAAGAGTCCCTCTCCACCTTCCTTGTGGCCCCTTCAGATCCTGGAAGGGGCTGTGAGGTCTCCACACAACCTTCTCTTCTCTTTAGCTATTAAAATGTCTTTATGTCAACTCACGAGCTTCTGTTCCAGCTCTCTCCCCATCCCAGCAGGGAACATGAGCACGTGTGAGGCTGAGCTGCCATCTGGGGTTAAACCAGGACAGACATTAAAGCCAGGCTTTGGCCATTGTGGAAAAACATGCAGTTCCATTAGAAATCCATCTTGTTCTGAAGGAGTTGACTGTAGAATTAGGTCAGGCACACCCTGCGTACTCGTGTTTCCTGCTGGCTCATATTTCTGACAATAATTGTACATGGGAATGTTTTTGTGGACTTAAAGGAGTGTTGTCACCTTAAAAAGCAGTTGTTTGGAGTTTTATTTCAGTCCTGGTGGTTATGCTGTGGTTTAGGAGGAGGGGGAGGGTTGCTCACCACCTGATTCACTCACTGCTTGTCCTTCCTTGCCGTTTACAAACCGAATGGTGAAGTAAATTACTCATTTCTACTATTTTTACTCTCTTACAACCTCTCTCCTGCCATGCCAGATGACAGTGAAGCCGTGCAAAAGCTGTCAGATGTTACAGCAGGGGCTGTAATTCAGTGGGTTTGGACAGCTCAGCTTTTCATTGTTTTCCTTTGAAGTTTCTGTGAAGTTCTTGATACCTAAAATACTCTGTAGTGGTTCTTTAAAACAAAGTCCCAAGGGTAAGGAATATATCCTTATCAATATAACAAAATATTATATTTATATAATTAATAAAAGTAGAAACCAGCAGGTTTGTACTGATGCTTTTGTTACCTTTTGTTTAATAAAGTGCTGCATCTTAATGGGTTTTCTCTGCTGGGCATGTTGCTGTAGTTCAATTCCTTTTCATGGCACACATCACCTTGTTTATGGTGCTCTGTGCAACTTAAGCCATTCAGCTCCTTCCAGCAGCTGAGGGAGAACTGTAAACCTTGGGAATGGCTTTGGATGTGCCTCAGATTCGTTAGGGTGGGGAAGGATAACGTGCTGAAGATCTTCCCAGCCTCTCAACGTTGCAGAAACGCTTCCTTCTTAAGGATTGCACAGAACAAGGATCACCCTCTTCACCTCTGCAAAGCATTTGGAGCATGAATTGTTTGTGCCAAAGGTTTGTTGCTAAATAAAACTGTTTCCACTTGGTGATTAAAAATAATTTAAATATGACTTCCATATTTTTCTCTCAAGAAAAGACAAGGCTTCTAGGCAAGTTCAAATAAAGATTATTTCACCAGGACCACCAGCACATGGTTTGGAGACAGATGTTTGTGCAGTTGCACAGCTCATTTTTGGTGTTGGCATGTTCTGGAGGGAGGAGGGACCTACATATCCCAAGTTAAGGTAACCAATGGCCAGAGCCAGATGGGAATTTATGATTTTTGACTCTGATACTGATTTCCTTTAAAAAAATAAAATCTCAGCCTGTTAAGGAGCTCTTTGATCTTTAGTGTTGAATGTGACTTGAGCTTCTGCTACTCCTGAATGCCCAGCTCCCAGAATCCAGCTGAGTCTTCCAGCTTCTCTGATTTTGAGAACACAAACTGCTCCTCACCTGATCCTCCAGGATTTGAGAACACAAACTGCTCCTCACCTGATCCTCCAGGATTTGAGAACACAAACTGCTCCTTACTGATCCTCCAGGATTTGAGAACACAAACTGCTCCTCACCTGATCCTCCAGGATTTGAGAACACAAACTGCTCCTTACCTGATCCTCCAGGATTTGAGAACACAAACTGCTCCTCACCTGATCCTCCAGGATTTGAGAACACAAACAGGTCACGGAGAAGTGAGAAAGAGGTTGAGGTGCTCGTTCACTGCTCATGATCCATTCTGTGGTACCAGCTAATTTACACTTCCCAGAGGGTGGAAACATGCATGGAAAGAGCCTTGGAAGGAAGGTGGTAACCTGGGAATTGCTGGTGCCTGGAGCTGAGTGGTGAACGTGCTGCAAGTCAGAGTAGCACCTGGGTAGGCAGTTCCTCTGATCCTCAGGATTATGGTTCCTCCTCTGTGTCCCTGTTTTCTCTCATAAAACACTTCCCTGCAGTGTTTCCCAGGGCTGTTAGGAGCAATGAGCAGTTAATATTTGTAAAAAGCTTTGAAGATGAATAGTGCTAATTATTATTTATAGGTATTCACTCTCAGCACAGGTAGTTCTCCTTGATCCTGGGCATGAAAGGAAACCAGGACATTTGTAAGCTGGTCAGGCAGGAGTTTGGCCTTGAAGTCTTTGTGTCCTGGTTTCCCTGCTGGGTTCTGTGTGTTTGCAATATATTTGTCTCATTAAATCACCACTTTGGGGATTTATTGTACGAGCCAGATGTGCTAAAGGAACCTTACTCACTTTCCTCAATTCTGCTGACACCTGGTGTGCAGGATTTGGGATGCCAAGAGGGGCTGCAAGGCAGGGAATTGTCATCAGCCTGGCCCAGGTTGGATAATCAGCAGGGCTGGATGTTCCACTTCCTGAAAGATTCAATAAGGAAAGTCAGATCTGACACTGGAAGAGCCACCACATTGCAAAGAGCAGCTGTTTGTGAATGTGTTTTAACAGAAGAGAACAAGGAGAAGGGTGTCCATCAGCTGGGGTTTTTCTCCTAAAAGTCCTGTTTAGTAGATTAAGCAGCAGAAGAATAGGAAATTATCAGGGAAAATTCATGTGTTGTAGTTCCTGTGTATCTGATGATAGTTCTGTAAATAATTTCAGAGCTGTTGTAGTTGAGGACTGCTGAGGGGTGTTCAGGGTCTCTTCAACTGTGCCTGCATTTAATTAGAGCTTGAGGTGATGAACAGAGATTGCAACATTCACCCAACCCAGTTTGGTGGCTGTGAAATTCAGTCTGTTGGGGCTTTGTTCTGTTTGACATCTCTTCAGTAGGGCTTGGAAGGCAGAGCTCTGGGGAAGGTGTGGAGGCTGAGTGTCCCTGGATAAAGCTGCCTTTCTCTGATTCCCTGCCTAAACTCTGCTGAGTAATGCAGGAAATAATCAGGAGATCATCCATGAGTGTTCCCCAGTGCAGGGCAGTGTTCACAGCCACTGGTGGGTTTGTGGTGGGAGTGATGGGGGGATCTGCCCAGGGTCCAGGAAGATGTGGGGAGAGGGAGTTTTCCAAGGCTGTGGTGGGTGAGAGCAGAGGGGGAGGTGATGCCCTGAGAGCTGCCCAGTTGCTGGGACTGAGATGACCCTTGGAGGCTCCTCCTGTCGCTGTTCCTTCCAGCCAGAGCCATTAAAAAAGAAATGGGTTTGCTGTTGCCAAAAATTTTCCTTCAGATGAACATCACATGATGTGTAAGCAACAGATTTTCTAAAAATACACAGATATAACAATGCTGGCAACTTAATATTGGGTTTACAGAGCAAAGGAAAGGAATTGTTTTTTCTTTTTTAAATTCTCATTAAGAATTAAATGGTTCCACTGACTGCCAGTAACAATGGGCTTGAAACCCACCACTGAACTGCTCATTAAGGCTTCACCCTCAGCAGGTCCTGTCCAGAAAACTGGCCAACTCTGCCTTGGCATTTGTTGTTTTATTAGTGCTGTGTTTTATCTGGTTTGTCTCTACCAGGCAGGGCTCTGCCAGGAGACAAGAGATGGCACCCACAGGCCCTGGAGTCTTCATTCAGCCAAGGAAAAGACACAGGACAATTGTGCAGCAGGGGGGAAACTGGGAAAATTCATTAATGAGGAAATTGGTGCTTTGTGTTTTAGAGAGTAGAAGGAAAACAGTTGAAGGCAAGAAAGGAGAGCTGGTTCTTGTCCAGGGCAAAACAAATGCCAGAGAGAGTGAGGGAAAGAGGGCAAAGAAATCTGTTAGGAGATACAGGGAGTGAAGTGGGTCTTAAAGATAGAAACAAGGAGGAAGAATTTCACTTGGAAAAAAAATGGAAGCTGTGTCTGCATATTCTGGAAGAACATTCCAGATCTGAGTGGTGTTGGTTAAATCATCGTGTGTGAGGCTTCTCCAGTCCTGGATGTTCTGCATCATACAAGTGGGTTTTGTAGGACTGTTTTGGGTTAAATCCTGGAGTGAGCACTGTGTGACAGCAGGGGCATAAATCAAGAAGGAAAACCCAAAACCAAGGAGTGACTGGGAGCAGGGAACCTCCTGGTCAAACCTCACAGTGGTTAAGTGGCAACTCCTGAGCTGTTAACTGGGAAAATGTTATATTTCAGGCTGTAGCCATGTTACAGAGCTCATTTTGCCAGGGCTGGGAATCAAGAGATACATAAACATTTTTAAAGGGCACTAGAGTTCTGGAGGGAGGATAATTGCCAGGAAGGTATTTGCAGGAATGCACATGTGATCTAAAGAGTTTAGACTTAGCTTTAAAAAAAGCAAAGGTTTATAGATTAAATATATTTAATAGACCCCTGGTTGCTTTAAACACTTTTTTCGTTTTCCTAAGTGAGTACAGGGGCATCATAAGCCTCTGAAACACAGTTAAATACCTACAAAAATGCCTTTTGAGCCTGAGGGACTTGGCTTGTGGTAGCAGATGCAGGGATTTGAGCTTCATTGCTTGGGAGTTCCCTCCAAAACCAACAACCTGGTGTTTTCTCTGCAGCTCTTCCCTTAGGAAACGCCACCAGCTCCTCACAGCACGGAGGCCCAGCATGAATGGGAACTGTGCTGGGGGGACAGACTGGTCGAGGAACCCGGAGTCCAGTTGCCCTGTGGAGAACAGAACTGTGGCATCTCATGAGTCAGAAGAAAGTGCTGTGGTGGTAGGAGGTCACAGCTCTGCTGCAGTTCCCAGGACTGAGGGTAAGTAAGGATAGTGTCCTCACCTCATAATCCTCAAGGGAGGTTATTTTTTGTTCTCTGAGGGCTGTTCAGTTTTGGAAGAGGTTCCAGTATCACAAGGCAGGCTGTACTGGGGAGTGTGTACCCTGCTCTAAAGGACAGCAGTTCACAGCAGAGTTCAGCAACTTGGCAGCATCATCCCATGGGAATGCCCTGGCTGGCCAGCTCATGGCTCCTGCTGGGATTGTCCCTGAACAGATTCCCTGGAAGCAGCTGGGCAGTGTGTCCACCACGGACCAGCATCAAGCACTGCTGACCTGCAGCACCTGGTGAGGTGTGTGCTGCTGCTGCAGCTGCCTGGGAGGGTCTGTGTCTGTATTTTGAGCTTGTTTAATTCCTGTGCTCCTGCCCTTTGCCACTGAAACCATCACTGGGGTTCGTTAGGAAATTTTTTTATCCAAAAACACAGTCTAGTTGTGTCGGGGAGGGTTAGGTTGGATATTAGGAAAAGGTTCTTCCCCCAAAAGTGATTGTGCACTGAACAGGCTCCCCAGGGCAGTGGTCATGGCCCCAAGGCTGACAGAGCTCAAGAAGTGTTTGAACCACAGTATGTGGTGGGATTTTGGGGTTGTCCCATGCAGGGCCAGGAGTGTGACTGGTAATTCCTCTAGGTTCCTTCTAACTCAGCATATTCTGTGATTCTGTGATACAACATTACTCTGACAGTTATGTCTACTGGAATCCTTAATTGTATGACTCAGTTTTCTCGTTGCAGTGGGAGGTGTTACTATGAAATGATGTTTTCCAATAAATTCTCTCTTACCCTGCAGTGTTCATTTGTCTCCCTCAGGTTTGGAGCCCGAATGCCGACACAGCACTTGCCCAGGAAGTCCCCAGATCAGCTGCATGCTCTCTGCTCCTGAAGACACTCACAGCTGCCATTTCCCAGATGGAAACAAGAGACAGGTGGAATATTTTAGTCCCCAGGAACGCCATGGATGCTGTGCTTTGTCTTCAAGCAGCAGTTCACAGACAGTGGCTCCTGAGAAAGTGACCCTTGTGGTGGATGGCACTCGCTTTGCAGTGAACCCCCAGATCTTCACTGCTCACCCTGACACCATGCTGGGAAGGTGGGTCACGGCCCTTGTTTCCAAGGTAACTGAAATGGGTCAAATGTTTGTTAAAATGGAGCAAACCCACAATGTTTGTTTTGTGATCTCATCTGTGCACACAAGCAAAGCAAGGGTGACCTCAGTGAGAACTTGCCTGTGAGGGAGGCCCTGAAGACCTGACCAGGTGGAGAGCTGGTAATTCTCTAGATTGAGTCTCCCTTTGGTCCACTTCCATCAGAAAATGCACACTTTAAGCCAAATGTAGTCTCATTTTCTTTTCTGTCCAAGTGTTTGCCTGGTTTGTAAGCAGTACATCTGTCCACAGCTGATAACCTCCCTCCTGAGTGGGGAGTATGATAATGCTCCATCCCCTCCTGCTGCCCTCTTTTGATACTCTCCCAAAAGAGAAGTTACTCGGCTCCCTCTAACAGGACTGGAAGGTTGGAACCTGCTTCTGCAACAAGAAACACTCATGTTCTGTGTTGCCAGCACTTCCCCCCTCTCTGACCAAAGGTCAGTCCTGTCAGGTCACTGACCCTTGCACTGGTCACTGAGTAAAACACAAATGAAACAGGGGATCAAAACACGTGGAGTTATCGGGTGTAGGTCAGTGAAAGGGCTTTATTGCCAGGGGATTTTCTGCCCCAGGGCTGAATGATCTGTTCCTTGACTTGTTCCTTACACAGTAGCTGTAGCAACAGAGCCCAGACTTCCCTGAGCCAGCTCCTGTCCCTATTTAGCATGGAAGTAAAGTTGGAGTGTGGGTTTAAGTCACTGTATCTCTGTGTCAATGGTCTGGGTTGGAAGAGGCCTTAAAGCCCATCTCATTCCAACCCCTGCCATGGGCAAGGACACCTTCCACTCTCCCAGGTTGCTCCAAGCCCTGTCCAACCTGGCCTTGGACACTTCCAGGGATGGGGCAGCCACAGCTTCTCTGGCCAACCTGTGCCAGGGCCTCCCCACCCTCACAGGGAAGCATTTTTTTAACCTAAGTGCACCTCTTTGTCCCTGGAATAAATGTATTTCTGTATTCTTGTGGAATTACATGGGGTTTTTCTCTCTTCAGAATGTTTGGACCAGGAAGAGAATACAATTTCACCAGGCCCAATGAGAAGGGAGAGTATGAAATCGCAGAGGGGATCAGCTCGGCCGTGTTCCGCACGGTGCTGGTAAGGAGATGTTTGCAGATGGGGAAAAAAGAGAAATAAACAATCTGTTTGTCACATGTGCAAAGCTGAGCCATCTCCAGGCAGCTGCACTCCCTGGGACATTCTGTTTTTACATTTTGCATCGTGATTTTTAAAGAAAAAATATAGGAGACCTTGGTAGAAGTCAGTGTTTCCAGATATTTGCTCATCTCGCCTTTTACCTTCCCTGAGTCCTGTTGTTGGAATTCCTGAGCTGCACCCTGACCTTGTGGTTGCATATTAATGTCTATTGCATATGAGATATTACTAAACTCTGTGCCATGGGAAAAGTTTTAACTGGAGCTCATCATTTATCAGACCCAAGAGGACCTGCAGATGTAGCTTCTTGAACAATCAGGGTTGTTTTTACTGTTCAAAGAGCTCTAAACAGCCTCTCTAACTCTCAAATGCTGGTAAACAAAACCAAGAACTAATTAGGAATTATCAGAGTCCAAGACATCCTTAATTTTTCTCTCTAAAAACTGTCCTTATATTCACAGGATTATTACAAAACTGGAATCATTAACTGCCCTGATGGGATTTCCATCCCAGACCTTCGAGACACATGTGATTACCTCTGCATAAACTTTGATTTCAACACAATCAAATGTCAAGACTTAAGTAAGTATGGAAAGAAATCAGCTCCTGGGAGATCAACTGCGTGGATCCTGATTCAGTGCAGCTCTTAATCATGTGCTTTAGTTTAAGCATGAACATGTGGGTTCCACTAGGGCTCAAGTTGCATTTAAACAGCTTCTTTTTTGCTGCCTTAATCAGAACTGAAGTGATTGAATCCTGCAGAATGCAGACATCTTGGTCAAAAAGCAAATTATAAACATTCTGGTCTCTTTTTGTAACAGAGGCCAAGCAGAGCTTGCTGTTATAGCCCACAAAATGAAAGCTAAAAGCAGGGTTATGACTCGTATCCAAAATGTAGCAGAGAATCATGAATAATTTAAGCTAAAGAATGATGGGCAAAGCAGGAACAAAGGATACCAAAGCTGGGAAGTAGCAGAGTTCCTAGACATGAAGGGATTTGATTGGGAGCAGCTTTTTGGTGGGCATGCTGGCCAAGAAAGTACTTTTGGCACAGGCAAATCTGTGGAAAGCACTGTAGTGAAATGGAGTGTGTGGTACAGGAGCACAGGCCGTGGGTGGAATTTCCTGCCCTCTTCTCTGATGAGTGATCACAGAGAAGGCAGCAAAATGTACTTTCAAGGGTAGAGGTTGTTGCTGGGAATTCAAGTTCAGTATCAAAATGAATTATTCAGTCTGTTACTGTTTCACTGTATTGGTTGGAGCTTGGTGGGGGTTTTTTTTGTGGCCATGAAATGGTTCTGCAGTGTAATTTGTATCCCATTTGAAATGCAGTCTGTACATCTGATTTTGCCAGTTCTGGAGCTAGAGGCTGTTGATGCCTCTGAGCATATGTTGAGCAGTTTGTCTAAGGAAGAATTCCCGCTGTGCTCTTGGATAGATCTGGAAGTGCAGAGCTGGGACACATTTTCATAGTGTAGAACAGCTCATTGTCTGATTTCTGCCTCCCCAGGTGCTCTGTTACACGAGCTCTCCAACGATGGGGCTCACAAGCAGTTTGACAGCTACCTGGAGGAGCTGATCCTGCCCATCATGGTGGACAGTGCCAGGAAGGGGGAGCGGGAATGTCACATCGTCGTGCTGACAGATGAAGACACCGTGGACTGGGATGAAGATCATCCACCTCCCATGGGAGAGGAGTACTCACAGAGTAAGGGCTCTGCACTGGGGCTCCTGGCTCTGTGTGCCAGGAAAGGACCCATTCCCAAACTCCAGGCTTCCTCCAGGAGGAGGTGCTGGCACATGGAGCCCTGTCTTGTGCACTCCTTTTGAGCTGCTGCTGCTGGAGGCAGGATACCAGAGCTGTGCTCTGATCCCTGTGTTGGGACTGACAGCACACACTGCAGCTTTTCCTTGTGTTTCTGCCTCCTCCTGAGCCTTTTCCTGGCTCCTTAGTGAGGGAATACTCTTTGCTTTCCACTCCCATCACCTCCCAGTCTGTCCTGACTGTGATGTGCATCACTACCCTCCCACAAGGAAGTACAGCTAATCCCAGTGAGGAGAACAGGCACCTTGAAAACCACACCTGGTTTTAGGCAGCCTCGCAGCTGAGCACGTCAAAAACAGGGAGAAGGTTCCTCTTTGTAGATTCTAATCACCTCTTTTATTTCTCAAGTCCTTTACAGTTCCAAGCTGTACAGATTCTTCAAGTACATCGAGAACCGGGACGTGGCAAAAGCCGTGTTAAAGGAACGGGGCCTGAAAAACATTCGCATTGGCATCGAAGGTAGGGTGTTGCTTCAGCAAGGGAAATCCTAAAACAGGTGACTCCACAGTCAGTAAAGCCTGGTTCCCTCTGAACTCCAGGCATTTCCTGGTTTACTCTGTGGTTTACATTTATTTTCATGAAACTGGTCAAATCTGGGCATGTTCCTTCGCCTTAAAGGAAGGTAAAAGATACATAAAATGTACCAGTAAGCCTAGGAATGAGTAAACAGGAAACAGGAGTCAAATGCTTCCACCTGCTGCTCCAAGCAGTCCCTTAGGGATTTAGAGAAAGTTGTGCTCTGTCCTGGGAGACTGTCTTATTTTTATAGTAGCTATGTTTGCTCACAAAATGCCTGGTGCTGTGCAGCTGTTGATCCTATGACTGACTACACAAAGTGCTGCACCCTCCTGTCAGAGAATCAGGGAATCATTTAGTTTGGAAAAGCCCTCTGAGATCATTGAGTCCAACCATTAACCTGGCACTGCCAAGCCCACCACTAAACCATGTCCCCAAGCACCACATTCACATCTGTTTTAGGTCCCTCCAGGGATGGTGACTTCACCATGGGCAGCTGTGCCAGGGCTGGACAACCCTTTTGGTGAAAAAAATTTCCCCCATATCCAACCTAAACCTCCCCTGCTGCAACTTGAGGCTGTTTCCTCTCATCCTGTCCCTTGTTCCCTGGGAGCAGAGCCTGACCCCCTGCTGGCTCCCCCCTCCTGTCAGGGAGTTGGAGAGAGTGAGAAGGTCCCCCCTGAACCTCCTTTTGTCCAGGCTGAGCCCCCCCAGCTCCCTCAGCTGCTCCTCGTGCTCCAGACCTTTCCCCAGCTCCGTTCCCTTCTCTGGACACACTCCAGCCCCTCCATGTCTGACCCCAGGATTCAAGGTGTGGGCTCAGCAGTGGGACAATCACTGTCCTGGTCCTACTGGAACATTATTGTTGGTCCAGACCAGGATGCCCTTGGCCTCCTTGCCCCTCTGGGTACACCTGGCCTCATGTTTAGCCTTGGCCCTTCTCATTTTTTCCCCTGCATAACCTCATGACATCCTCAGAGTCCTCCTGATTTGCCTGCCCCTTCTTCCTCCTTTTCATCCCCACCTTTGGCACATGGGAATGGCCTGCTCCTGCAGCTTCAAGTTTTCCTTCTTGAGGAATGTCCAGCCTTCCAGAACTCCTTGGCAGGGGAAAAGAGAACAGTCTTTTGCAAGCCAGTGATGTAAAATGTGGAATGTGAGCATTTGTCTGCTGAGCTGTGTGTGTGTGTCCCTCCCTGACCCCACAGTCACTCCCACCTGGCTCTTCTGGAATGCTGCTGTGAGTCAGAGGGGTGCAGTGCAGCTGAGGGGCTGTCTGTGCTTCCAGGCTATCCCACCTGCAAAGAGAAGGTGAAGAGGAGGCCCGGTGGGCGCTCAGAAGTGATCTACAACTACGTCCAGCGGCCCTTCATCCAGATGTCCTGGGAGAAGGAGGAGGGCAAGAGCCGCCACGTGGATTTCCAGTGTGTTCGGAGCAAATCCCTCACAAACCTGGTCACGGTGGGGGATGATGTCTCAGAGGACCACGAGGTGATAATGCATCACCCCCCCCAGGTGGATGAACTGGACAGGCTGAATGCCCCCTTCTCCCAGATGGTTTTGAACGATGTCCCGGATTAGTGCTGGAGAATCCTGCTGGATGTGGGAACATCTCAGCGTGGTCTCATCCCGAGCAGTGGAACACAGACTCCTGCAAGGTGCTCTATTCATGCTCTTACTGCGTTGTCATATTACAAGCATGTTAATAAAGAGCCACACTCCATAGTCTTAATTGTGCAATCAAAAGCAACATCTCCTCAGACAAAAAGGAAACGATGCCGTTTGTTTCTGCTACAAAGGCTTCCGGATTGGTGGGTGCTGAATATTTTATCTAAACTTCTAAAAGAAGAGCACAATTATGTAGAAACATCTTGTTTGACATGAGAGAGGAAATTCTGGGCCTGTCAAGACAAAGCTTTCCTTTACCATTAGGCACTTAGCTTTGCTTTTGTGGGAATCAGTTACAGAGAAGTGAACATCAAAGCAGGACAGATGATGCTCTTTCATCAACCAGCAGAAATGTAGCACAGTTGTGACAGCAAAATCCTGAGCGTGGAGGAATCTGTTTGCACTGCCACCTGGCTTTGGATCCAGCATGCTGTACTGTCTAGAATAAACCAGGTCCATAGGAAGCTTATGCCTGTTCACAGGAATGTCCCATATATACTTCTCCATGAGATGGAATCATTGTTTTTAGGAATGTTTTCTGTTAAGTTCAGTAAAATGAGTAGATGGTGCTGAAGGAAAACCCAAAAGAGACTGTAGCTGATGCTTTACCAACCAAGTAAATCTGTTTAGTAGCCAAGTAGATGTGAACCTTTCTAGAGGTGACTGTGCATGCTACAGACTTTCAGTTGTCTCCTCCATCCCCCTGCTCAGACAAAAAGCCAGTGGAGGAGCTCCCAGAACAAACAGTACCTGAGTAAAATCCATGGTCTCATCCACCTTAGTTGGTCAGAATTCCTGTAGACTCTCCAAGGAACACTGTGCTGCTGCAGCTTTAAAAGGCCAGCTACTTCCCAGTGTGGAACTGAGTGGACTATTTTGTTGTCAGACAGGTAAGAAATACCAATAGTAACCCAGCCCTCAGGAGAGAAAAATACTCATACCTGGCAACAACTCCTTTGCTGCTCTGAGTGTAGTATCCTGGTCTGTGTAAGGCTCTGGGAATTTTGGGTTCAGGGCCAACAAAGCTGTGACTGTGAGAACAGACACACTCCAGGCTGGTTTAGCATAGATAGGTTGGAGCTTGCTGGTCTTGTTCCTGCAGCAGGAGTTTCTTTTAGGAATTTTCTGTAGGAATTACCTGTAGGACTTCCCTCTAGGCTGACTGATGAGCACATGGTGAGTTCAGCTCTGCCCCAGCTGAGCTGAGGGCACTCAGAACAGGGCAGCCTCACAGAGCCATCCCTTCTGGCTGGAGGGGAGTTTAAAGACTCCAGAACTGCAGTATTTGAACATGGTGCTGCTGCAAAGAAAAGCTGAAACCATTCAGGAAGAAAGAGAGGGACAGGGTTCCTTGCAAAGTTGTTCAGGTCAGTGCTGCTCTTAGATGGTGTTGAAACCTGGACCATTTGGGCACTGAGCTACCTGGTCAGACTTGGCAAAGCAGAGGTCAGTGTTAGTCTGCCCCTAGAAAGTTTAATCCTTTATTATCAGGACTGCATCATACATCAATTTGTATTATTCTCCCTCTGACTGCCAAGTGCATGGAGCATTTGCTGACCAGTGAGGATTGCTGCTGTTTGCTGCTGAGGATGGTTGTGGTTTTCGGTGTAACATGACAAGATCAAGCAAAACTTTTTAGTTATGAGTAACAAATCTCTGCCAAGACACCTCTTGCTGATATGTTCAGTTCCCATTTGTGTGGATACAGGTTTCTGATTCTGTTCTTAGCTTTTTTCCCAAGTGCAGCAAATAGATCTCTTCTTTTTAAAAGTGCCTGTGAGAAGATTTCAGGTCCCAGGGTTTCAGATGCCCAAGTTCCACCTGAGTACTTTTGAAAACTCCTCCCTCTGTGTCATTGGGTCAGTACAAGAAGTGTCCTTCAGTGCCTGCACAGAGCTGGGGGGGTGTGCAGTCACTCCCTCTGTTGCTCCAGATGAATTTCTATTTTTGTAGTAGAGAAAGGAAGACATATGGACCATTAACCTCCCACCTGGGGCCAGACCAGCCCCATTCCCAGCCCTGGTGATGAGCCATTCCCTCAGGACAGACAGCAGCACTGGTGAGCCTGTGTGTGCCCAGCAGGGATGGAGGTTGCCCCCAGGCCCTGTGTGCCCAGCAGTGATGCCCCCCAGGCCCTGTGATTATGTTTTTCAGTGTGTATTTATTTTTACTACAGTGTCAGTTTTGATTATTTGAGTATTGGTATTGCCCAGCTGAGTTGCAGTTGGAGCTTGCACATGTTCTGCTCTAGGGACTGAAGGGGGGGTGTTGTTGAAAGCTCCTCTTCAGGACTCTGTCAAGGCATCAGGTGCTGAGAATTGGACCTCGATGGCACCTTTTGGGATCTGACAGCAAAGTGCCATGGCCAGCCAAACCAAATCCCACCGTGTGTGTCCCTGAGCCCAGGGGTCAGCTCAGCCTCTGGAAGGATCTGGCCAGTTTGTTAGAAACAGTGGCCATGGGTTAAAGACTGTCACTGCCTGTAGGAGCTCGTGGTTCCCTGTGTAATCAACTGGACCTCCAGCTCCCATGATTTCCATGAAGTTTTTACCACTCACCCAGTGTAGTTTATTGGCTTTCCCAAGTAACTAAAGATGAATTCAGGATTTTAATTTTTGTTAGTAAAGTGAATTCCTTTGGAACACTGAATAAAATTGAAAAGGTGTTTGCTTTTCCTCCTCTCACGGTCACCTACTTCAGGTACAAGGTCAACTCTTGTCTTATTCTAGATGTACTGAAGTGTTCCCCATGCTGTGTATGAACTCCAGATGTATGGTTTCTGTATTAAAATATAAATTATATGTGGCTTGTTTGGCTGTTTTAAAACTTGTTTTAAAACAAGTAGAAGAGTAGAAGAACAGGCTGGGGACAGGGGGATAGAAGGTTTTGTTTCCTTGCTTCATAAAGTACCTGTGGTTGTGATCCCAAAGCCTCAGGAGTAGCCTGGCATCAGACAGAGCCTGGTTGATTTGGCAGGGCCCAACTGCAGAGATGTTCCCACCTTTTGTACTGAGAGGACTCTGAGTTTCTTTCAGCTCATCCCAACTCACTGCAGGGATGTTCCAAAGGCAGCCCAGGCCTGAGACAACCCCCCTTGACCCTCAAACTGCAGCATCTCTGACAGGCCCCAGGATTTTTGGTCAGTGCTGTGAAAGGTGCTCTGCACTTCTACCTACTTGCCTTTGGAAGAAAACAGCTTTGGAGCTGTTTGGCTTTGATTTCCACCTTCAGCCTTGGATGGACTTCCAGGGTTTTAGTGATGAAGCTTGGGAAAGGCATTAAGAATTTGAACAAGGTGAGATTTGTGTGGAGACCTCAAGAGCACCTTCCAGTATCTGAAGGGGCTACAAGGAAGGTGGAGAAGGGCCTGTTCATCAGGAACCAGAGTGACAGGACAAGGGGAATGGGTTCAAACTGCCAGAGGGCAGGATTAGATGGGATATTGGGATGAAATTCTTGGCTGTGAGGATGGTGAGGCCCTGGCACATGTTCCCAGAGAAGCTGTGGCTGCCCCATCCCTGGAAGTGTCCAAGGCCAGGTTGGACGGGGCTTGGAGCAACCTGGGCTAGTGGAAGGTGTCCCTGCCCATGGCAGGGGGTGGAATTGGATCTCTAAGGTCCCTTCCAACCCAAACTAGTCTGGGATTCCACAATTTCAGTTTGTAAAACACAACATGCCAGCAACAGTGTGTCTACGAAGTGGATTTTATTTATTTACACAACACAATGAGATCTATCCATAAAAAGTTGACTACACCTGCCAAATTTTACAGTGCAATTTTGGAACAGCTTTTAAATATTTACAGAATGCTTTTTCAACTGAAGAGGTTAAGGCAGAGTCGGGGCACAGTGATAAGAAACACTTAGTGCAGCTTTGTGCTAGGCATGATACAGAGATGAACTGGCAGCATAAGGTGTTCAGATCCATTGGAAATTCAGACTGGAATTACTCCTACAAGTCCAGCAACTGCAGGTTAATAAAAAAGAGCCAAAGATACAAACAACCTCAAAACACAAGCAGCTAAGGAAAATGTTTGGCTACCATGGGAGATGGAACAGGCATCCAAAATCCTTAGTTAGCAGTGAATTATGGATCCTGGGAAGGAGACACTGTAGGACACACTTTTTTTCCCTAAAGTTGGTGAAAAACTGGAATAGGAAGCAGGCTTAAAATGCACCTGGGATACAGATGCTACCACTGAAGGTGTGTCCAAGAGGACTGGATTCAAAGACATCCAACTTCTGCTGGAAGACAACAGGAATGAGGTACCCAACTGCTCCTCATGCCTTTGAAAAACCACCTTGAGCTCAGTGACCTGAGGGGTCACACTTCAAACACAGCACTAAAAATGCACAATACACAGTACTAGAGAGCTGGTTTTTTCACAGCAAGTCATCACAACTTATAATTGTTTAGCTTCTTTGGTATTTATAAATAAAAATGCTGGTCCCTTTCAGTAAAGGGCTACGAATGCAGCTACTATCTCAAAATCATTTGTTGCTAATCCACAGCAGCTTGAAAGGATTCTGATTTTTATTTCATTTTAAGGCAGTAACTAAGTAGTTAGGAATTGAAAAAAAAATGGTTTTATATTATTTCCAATGGTTTATAAGGCAACATTTTCAAATGGCTGGAAGAAACTGCAGGAGAAGTTGGTATCAGCCCTTCACACAAAGTACAAAGGGAGCAGAAGGTGATCTTAGGGATGAGTTGGTAAAAGCCTGATCCTATAAGTCATTCCTTCCGTTAGCCCTTATTCATCCAAGTGAGCCCTACTGACTGCAGTGATCCTGGGATCACTTCTGATTAAGGCTGCTTTGCATTTCAGCTTGGTAGGATCCAACTGGTACCTAAACTGCTTATGGCAAGTCATTAAAGTCGTGGGACAAGTACAAAAAGCACAGGGGTTGGTGAGGGAGAGGAGAGGACACGAAGGAGTTATGTACAGTACTGGCAATCCCCCATCAGTCCTTCAGGATGGCACTCAAAAGACATGTAGGTAAAAATTCCCTAAAAGCACCTATTAAAAAAAGTTCCACTACAAACCCATTTTGTTTTGTTTCCTAATCAAGAAATTCAAGACTAAACAGCCCTGGAAGCCTTTTTTTTTTCCTGTGAAACGTCACTTGAGCTTTGTCTTGTCTGTACTCTGGAGTTAGTGTTCAGCACCAACAGAAGTCTGCAGGAGTCCAAGATAGTTCAAACTGAGACATGCTTTTAGAAACCTCAAAAAGTTATAATTTTTATCAATCTGATTGCAAATTACAGACTGGAGCCAGGCAGACCCAAAGGGTTAATGCCACCTGCCCCTGGAAGTGCAGAGTTAACTACAAACAGGCTCAACGTGGAGCTCGTGGTTAGAAAAAGGAATTAGGAAAAGCTCAACTGATGCAGAACCCTCCCTCCCAGAATGGTACCATGTTCCCAGAGAGGCTTAGGCAAGGAAAGGCACTTTGGGGCTCTCCTGTAGAGAATCTGATCAGAACTTTTAGAAGTTATAGTAGGCAATAATCTAAGAGTGGACACAGTGGGTTCCACTGCCCCAAAAGTGACCCCAGTCTGTGGAAGACTCCAGGGACAGATGGTTCAGCCAGGACAGCAAGAGCAGCTCTGTAAGGAAACACTAGGCAGGCCTCCATCAGCAACATTCTGATCCTGTTCTGCTCAAAACCAAGAGCAAAAACGCCACAGATGTTTTTTTTGTCTTTAAACCAGTGAAGATGTAGCAGAGCTCAGATATGGCCGAGAGATGGCACCAGCCAGCCAAGGGAGCCTTGGGCTGAGCCAGCTCTGCACAACTTACCCACCAAGGATCAGGTTCAGGAAACTTCCCTCCCTCTGCTCTAATTCCAGATGCACAGTGTGACCAGTTGTGGTTTATCTGGGCTGTTCACAGATCCCCCCTGTCACACAGCAACCAAAGACTCCGTGCTCGGAGCAGGGAATGGCCCATTTCTCCTCTATCCGGGGAAGGAAAAGTGTTGCACAATTTCTTAATTTAGAAAAAATATTAAATGGCTTGAGGGTAACTTAGTACCAAAAGTAAAGTGCACCAGGACTGGAGGCCACTGTGACAGAGCTGAGAAATGCTATTGAGAGGCTTCCAAGAAGCATTATAAAAACAGCACTACAAACTAAGGTTAAGGCAATCCGAGTTGTGTCCTTCTGCTCGACAGTTTCCTGGAGAGTTGTCTGTCTCAAGCTTTAATTATTGCTTTGTTACTGGAGTCCTCAGCCACTGGGCAAACAGTGCTGGCAGAATTGGCAGAGTGAGTTTGTCACTAAATGCAGGACTGGCAAACAATCCTACAGAATCCCGTGCTTTGCAATGCCACAGGGAAGGCTCCCATCTCCCGATGGACTGTACAACGTGGCAAAGGATTTAAAAAGGAAAAACTCTTGCTCCTGAAGCAGCAGAAGGTGCTGGCAGCAGAGATGATGCAAACACGTTGTGGAATTTTTCAATGGCGCAGGAAAAAAAAATCCTTAGTAACAACCAGGTGTGTAACAAAACAGGGCCCTGAAGTCTCCTCCGAGAGTTGACAGCCCTCAAGTTTCCTTTAAAAAAAAACCAAAAAAATTCTTTTATGGGTATAAACCCGAAGTACAGCAACAGAATTCCACGGCTCAGAAGTCCCAGGTAAAGCTGTGTCACTTCCCTCCTTTCATGTAGGACGGGATTGCCCCTCGGGCCGTCAGGCCCTCGAAACGTTTGTAGGTGTAGTTGATAAAAACCCAGTCCTTGTTCTTGTAGTCGGTCTCTGGGTGGTTGCTTGTTGCCACTGGGAAGACACAGAAGAAATAAAGTTACCCTTTGGAGACTGCCAAGTTTATTTTCATACAAAACACTGGATGTGGGATAGGGCAGGAAAAAATATCATAAACCCAGGATTCAGCTTCGTGCTTCAAGCCCAGGAAAGAACTGCTGGAGCACAGGACACGGCACAATGATTTTAAGCTAAAAGAGGGTAGATTCAGACAAATTTTTTACAGTGTGGGCTGTGAAACACTTGCACAGGTTGCCCAGAGAGGTGGTGGATGCCCTGGGAGTGTCCAAGGCCAGGTTGGACAGGGCTTGGAGCAACCTGGGCTAGTATAAGGTGTCCCTGCCCATGGCTGGGGGTTGAATGAGATGAGCTTTAAGGTCCCTCCCAACCCAAACCATTCTGGGATTCTGTATTTAAACTCATGGAGAAATGTGTGACTATGCTGTGATCCTTTAGAAATTTACACCAAAACATCCCCTTTCTGTCCCACCCTTCCCCACCCACTACTCCAAGTGTCAGCTGTGCCAGCAGGGATCAGCCAGTACCAAGGTCCTGCTGAGATCTGAACTGGCTGGGAGCTCTGCTGCCTCAGAGGTGCCCTTTCTCAGATAATTCCCCCATCATTTCCATCCTGCATCTCCTGGAACCCCAATTCCAGCTTGCACACCCTGCACCACGAGGCTACCAAGGCATGTGCTCATGAGAAAAAAAAGTTAGCATCTAGTAAGATCCTTTCTGTGATTAACAGGAAAGATGATTTTACTGGAGGAGAGGAAAGATTGTTGACATGCAGAATCAAACAATCATTTACCTGTTGGTTTAAGGATATCAGATTCTGGAAATTCATCAAAGTTTGAGGTATCATCAATGCTTTTAATTTCTATGGAAATCGCAGCAGGTCTCTCTCTGCCAAGGAGAGCAGATGGAGCATTAAGATTTCAAAGACAAAGCAGGATGCAGCCACTTTCCCTTTCTTAACAGAATCAAGACTGAAAGTGCCTAAACCTCAGCAAGCTTCAGGTAGGGAACAAAAT